TACATCATGAGTAGTTGTTTTGCCAAAAAATTAATGTCATAAATAATTGTTATATTAAAATATCAAGTGCACTCCGCTCAGAACATGTAGAAGCATAATTAAATAGTCATTGCAATTTTTCATAGAAGAAGCCTAGTAATGAACCATTCTCTTAGGTGTCATGGACGTGAAAACATCCCTCTTAATAGTCTCTTCAATTAGCTTAAATAAGTAGAAATATAAGGGAATATCTTCATAAACTTTTGTTATCTATTCTAATATTTATATTACATTAGGAATAGATAAAAATTGTTGTGTAGTGGTAGTCTCAGAAGATAAGTTTGTGCATGTTATAACTGGCTATGATATTTTACTACTTAGATATGCAGAACCAATTTTTTACTACGTCCTACCCACACTTTTAAAGAAGGTGGCGTCTTTACTTGACTAGATTCACTATGTTCATTCTTGTAATGTGGTGATCTTTGAAAATGATTAATTGGGATTATTCTACTCTCTTGCAAACCCTGAGAAGTCCAAGCATGTCTACCAATCACAACAACCCCACCAAACATAACATCAAGTTTCTCCTTTAGCTCTGGTTCAATTCAACAATTCTTAAATTTCTTAATATTTGACACAACCTATCATTCATATAATCAGAAGGAGAAGTTATGTCCAACAATTGCACCTGTAAAGAAAATATAATTACAAATGTCTTAAAATAGATTTCACCTGTAATTTCTTCTTCCACCAATTTGCTGATACATCTATAATGTTTTTAGTTGGATCCCAACTAAGTCTAGTAGATCTTCTTTTGAACTCTTTTTAAAGTTTCCAATCTTTTTCTAATTAGTCCTATTTATTCTTTAATTGAGTTTAGTCATACACTCTTCCTCCGATTCTCACTTGAAAATATTTTGTATTATTTTGCCAACCTTCTTTGTTGAAATGTGTTGTTTGTGTGTTTCCTAATTCAATCTCTTTCATATAAATACTAAAAAAAATCATTGTTGTTTCTTTTTCCTATACAGTGGTACGTTCAACACTCATTTTACTTCTCCACCTATATGTTAACTAGTGTTATAACACTATGAAATCCTTGGAGGTCGAGCCATAGAGTAAGTGTTAAATTGCCTCCATAATAAAATATAGACAACATGATTAATCAAGGAAAATATACAATCTCTCATAAAAATAGGATAAAGCTTCATAGAAATTTAAATGAGGGGAAATGTTATAATTTAAATGAACTAAGAATATGATAAGAGGACTTCGAGGAGTAGTAAGTCTTCCTCCATTAATATATGAACGTCATAAGTTTGAAACTCCATATACATCTAACGATTTGGCAAAATACATCAGCTCCTTCTAAATCACACATTATTGAGTAGTTCATGCACTGTATAAAACTTTTAAAAAAACCTTATGAGAAATTTTATCTAACATGATTAATGCCGCATTTGTTAAGTACATTGTCCAATTTAACCATATGACAATATGTCACAACACTTAAATCAAACATGAATGAACCTCTTATCATGGTCATCTAATAAATTTTTTTCATCTTTCATTTGTAGTCATTTAGAATGGCTAAACAAAATTAAGAAGCTAACTAAACAATATTAAAACAACATCTACTTTCATAAATGAGAATAATAAAATCTTTCCTTGATGGCAAAATCGAGCATGCATATATGTACATTATTGTATCACCTTTACTATATTCTCACATATTCCCAAAATTAAACAAATAATTGAATGAACTAGGGTGAAGATAAAGTAATTTCAAACCAAAGACCAAAAGGTACAATACAATCTAAGTGCTTGTGCTCATCTTTTAAATTTCAAGGTTTCAATTTTGATTGCTTCCTGTTAGTGCGAAGAGTTCAACAGTTGGACACGAGAATGAAGAAAGAGATAGAGAGACTCACAGTGTGGAGAAGAAATACCTTCGGTCCGAAATGAGGGCAACGGGAAGGAGACGATGGTCGGGCCATGTGGAGAGAAATACCCAAATCGAATGGGGGCAACGGGAAGTAGGCGACGATCTGCGGGAGTTTCGGGAAGAAGCGACGATCTGCGGGCTTCGGGAAGACGACGAGCTGTGTGCAGTTTTGCGGCGCGGTCAGTAGGGTAGGAACGCATGTCGCAACGACCTTATCTGTGGGCTTCGGGAAGGAGATGAAGCTCTGCGGGTTTCGGGAAAACGACGAGTTGTGGCTTTGTGTCGTGGTCACTTGGACACAAACGCGGGCTTCAGGAAGACGTTGCATGGACAATGGGTAAGATTTTACGTGTGTCGTAGTGACCTCAGATATATTATCGTGTTCGTGTTTTTACAGTTCCAAGGAATGCTGTTGGGAAACACCGATCATGAAAAGTGCTATGCAAATGGCAAAAAATGAGGTTTTTAACAAGCTGTGGTTCAAAAAGCTGAAACAAACGCACATCTATATGGTATGTGATCTGATACTAGGGTAGGCCAAAAGTTCCTATGTGGTACCACTTAAGCCAAGAGTTTCAAGAACTATTTTCTAAGGACTCGTTCCAAAGCTAGGGCAGTTATTGTTAGCTCCTAAAGTTGTTTATGGCCTCGCATAACAAATAAGGTAAGGTATAATTTTTTTTAATTTTTTAAGTCTGTCAAATGTTAAGATCAAAAGGAATCCACCAAGAGGAATTGATAAAATGGGCTGTTTAAGTTAGGGAAGGAGTACCTATGAACCAAAATTAGACACAATGAATGAATTTGAAAAATTTCAATAAAAATTTGGTCAACAAATTAAACATCAATAAGTATTATGGAATTATAAAAGTAAATTATTGAATCCAAAATTGTATGGGAGACACACGTAAGGAACAGAGCATGAAAGGAAAAGAGGGGGAAGTAGAGAGAGCAAAAGCATGATATAGAACAATAAAATTATGTAACCTTTATCAAAAAATGAAATCCCTATTTATAGGGATGGGGAGTGTACAATTATATTTTTTACCCTTATAATTCATAGATACGACGAAAACATTTTGGTTACTACATAAATATAGTGTCGGGAGCCTGGGATGGCACCTGATCGGATGGGGCTGGGTACCAAAGGAGGCGTCTGGCCAACTAGGGCCAGGAGCCTGTGACAGCTTCCTCCAGATCTTTTGGGGTCAGACGACCTTCACTCGAGCCCGAGGCATTACCGACTAGGCTATCTCTTGAGGGCTTACGCTTGAAAGGATAGACTGGACAACTTTAGCTGGTTGCTTCAGAGCCTGACAGTTTGGCTCGATCATCTAGCCTGGCCAGAGAAAATGCTACCAGTCTTGTCTGCGGGAGTCTTGTGCTGGTGGACTTTTAGGAGAATAGTTGAATTATTGTCTCAAGATTATCTTCCTTCCGATCCGACTGGGAAGGCGTGAGATTGTGAATCTACCTTGGTGGGTCCCAGGATACCACATCATCTCTTCTGTTGGCCGTCAGATTTCTTTAAGATTCATCCCAACACATTGTTGATGTAGATACATTGCATGATTTCTTTGCATTTAAATGGGCAAGATTTCTTGCTAAGTGCAAACCATTATTATTTTATATATATTGTCTCGAGACACCTTTCAATTAATGTTCCCTTTAAAAATCCAAACTATATTATATAAAGTTTGAACATTTATCAAATGTGCATAAATATTTATTTACATTAATGGTCGGTCGACCCCTCTGCTTTTCAAACTAATTGCTTACAATAATTCTTATGTGGTTCACCAAGAATAATATAAAAAAAAATGCATTAGTTTACTTTCTATCTTGACTTTTTTTAGCACAGAATGGCTTCAGCTTTGATTTTGAAATATCCATGTGCATGGTCTGTACATATTTCAATATAATATGATGACAGCAAGTATGATATGAATATAAACTCATAACATAATAATTAAAAACAATATTTCAAGTACATTGTCATTGGACGCAACATGGTAATAAGTCTATTGTATGATCATTTTCATAATTCATTATAATTATATGAAAACTTTTTAATATGACACTTCATGACAAGAAATTAGCTAACCAAAAAAAAAAAAAAAAAAAACAATTTTTTTTTTTCGAAAATAATTTAAATCAATTCTCACATTTTTTTAGAACCCTTCTCCTAAAGAGTTAAATGGTATGTGATTGAAAGATAATTACTAATGCAATATATTTTCGTTCATTTTTCTTTTTTTATTTTAAAAGGAGTCATTAGCTTGTCGATCGCCGTATATTTCTCTTATTCGAATAATCTCTCTTCTGAGTCATATCAGTGATTCGAAAAGGAGAGGAACCGAATAAGAAGGGACATACGACAAAATGACAAACAAAAGAAAAAATAAAACATGAAGAGTCTTCGTGGGATAAACCTCGCAAGGATAGGTCAAGATTGTTTGGATGGCTGCCAGCTTATGCTTTAAGGAAGAACACAAATAAAAATTAAATTTAAAATGAATATATAATTATTGAGAAAGAGAGAAAGAGGAAGATTCATAAAAAAAATTAGGATCATTTTACATACATACACTCCATTCCTATGTATTTACATATCTTACATCAAAATTTTAATTTTTACATTTTTTTATTTATAATTTTTACATTTATAACACCTTAAATTAAAATTTATTTAGGGCGTTACTAATTTTTACATAAGCTTGTACGTTTTAGGATAAACAGTTTATTCTGAAAATTCGCCCGCGAGTTGACCGCGGGGGACGGCCCACGTTTAGTGTTAAAAATCCAAATGCGGCAGACAGCATTTTCAAAAACGGGCAAACGAACGATTAGACGGTATTTTAAAAAGGTCGCCGTACTTATAATAAACTGCTAGCCCTAAATTCACCGTATTTATAAGCTGCTAGCCCTAAATTTATTACAGTTATCATGCCGATTTTAATAATTTATTTTTGGAATGGCAATTTTTTTAAAAAAAATTAAAAAATTTGGCTGTCAAAAGTTACCCTTGTTCCTAAAATGCTGGATCTAACCCTGACGGCTAGGGCATTTCTGTAATTTAACCTCTGTGGGGCGTGTGGCGGCGAATTTTTGAAGGAAGTTCATTGGAAAAGGACCATCCCGCCTCCCAGGTGTGTCGGAAACGGTCGTTACCCTAATTCCGGGTTCCATTATTAACAGCTTCAGAAGCGTTTTCCAAGCGGAGGAATGGCGTCGTTTTCGGAAGCTCCACCAGGCGACTCGAAGGCCGGCGAGAAGATCTTCAAGACCAAGTGCGCTCAATGCCACACGGTGGAGAAAGGCGCAGGTCACAAGCAAGGTGTGTTTCAATCTATCGTCAGATCTCTGTCTGTCCCTTTGTTTTCTTTTTTTCCTATCCTTCAACCACGGAAATCATTCTGTGAGATTTGTTCTGGTAGTATGAAATGTTGATGATCCATTTTCTTGCAATTAATAAAGTTGAGAGCTTGCGTGTTGAGTTTCTATTCTGATTAGATTCGTGATGCTTTTATTCTAATTAGTTGTTTTTATGTATCGTTTATAAAGTGGGAATAAAAATATATTGTGAAAGCAGGTCAGAAACTAAATTAAGATTGAAAAGAATTAAATTACATTTATTTAATTATAGGAAGATTAATTTCATTTTAGACTTAAAAAGTTAATATGGATTTCAAACTGAAGAACTGAACTGCAAAGTCTAAACAATTTAATAATATTCTGTGGAAGTCTAAACCAAGAATTTAAATTTTAGTTTTTCGGTTTCATTTTTGAAACTTTCAGTTGTGTGTCAATGATTTTGCTTTTAGTTTTTGGTTCTAATTTATTTGAGCTTTGAATGTTAATAATTATAGAGAAAGTGTTTAATTAATCTAAATCATTTAAGTTAAACAGATATTAGTTTTTAAATGGCTTTTTAAATTAATATTAAAAAGATGATTTTGATCGATGTTGTTGTGAGATTTTAAACTGATATTGAAACTTAATTGTAAATGGACAAAAGCAAAAGTATACAAATCAAAATATTACATATTAGTCTTATATAATTAACATATTAGATTGTTTATATTTAATAACATATTAAAAAATGAATATCTATGTTCTAGGATAAATAAATAGATTGGTTTTCTTATAATGATCTAATTTTCTTTCCAACTAGGTTGTGAAATTATTTCTAACTTTCTTCTAAAATAAAACAGAACCAATCTGCATAAATAAATTGTGTTATTTTGTTTTGATTGGATATTGTTTATCCCAAAACTGACTCATTTATCATAAGGGTCATAATATTTACCTCAAATCCAACTCAACACAACCATGATTGACACAACCCAAATAACATGAATATGACCAATGAACTTAGCCAAAACTTTTAGATTGGGAGAGGGAACTCTCCTAATGACTAGTCATGTTGACGTGAGACTAGCAATTTTTGTTTGCAAGGACAAATCTGTGATTTTAGGGCAATTGCTAGGTTTTTTTGAATTGATTTCAAGTATTTGGGTAAACTTGAACCCTAATCAAAAGTTAACCAGGTCTACATCTTGGACTTGAACCCAACTTGTATGCTTTTTGACACTTAATTTTTTTTGTGTTTGTCATTTTGTTTAATCTGAAATACATAGGATTCAAATTTCTCACCATATGATGGTTTTAGTTTGCCTTCTATCTTGTGCATCGTCTTCTAAGCCTGCTTTACCTATAAACCTTAAAAATAGGGTTGCCGATTTGTATTAACAATTCAGGTTCGATTTTACACTAAAATCATCAAAATTCTGACCCAAGTCAATTCCATTATCTTGAAAAATTTCCTACATGTTCCCCACAGCTACAAACACTGTCCAATTTGGTATATCAATTCTGATACCTAAAAGCATTGTGTTTTAACTTACCCACGGCCGTTTCCATGCTGCGTGATTAAGTTATGATAGTCTTTTAAATTTAGAAAAAAAATTTATTAATGAGCGTGATTTGTTGTAGATAGGATTCTATGTGGCTATATTTTGATAAATTTATAAGATTCCCTGCTTTAATAGATTAAATCCTTACTTCTTCACGTAACTTTATGGAATTTTCTATTGTGAAGTTTGAAGCTTTGGCTGGTGCTTGAGTTGAACTTTGCTCGCAGCTTTTACTCTGTTAATGAGAAAACTGTATGTTCATGCTGCTTAATATACTTTTTCTCTAGAAATGTGCTGCAGGGTTCTTATACATCTCATGCCTTGAATATTGATATCACTGGCATTTAACAATTTTGCTTAGAAGAGTGGAATGAGTCTAGCAGCGTTAATTTCATTGGGTTGCAGTTTGATTCCATGTGCAGCTCTTCTGTTTGGTGTAGTTTGGTAATGAGTTATATTAAATAAATAGGTTATTCTTGTTTAAACTTTCTGTTCTGCTTCCAGGCTTATTTGCTGTTCCTCTTGCTTCTGTTTTCTGTTTTTGGTAAAAACCACCAGTTACCATCTAACCTTTTTTTTTGCATGGGGAAAAAGAAAGATTAGGCTAACTTTTTTTTATTTTTTTGTTTTAATATATCTTTAGGTCCTAATTTGAATGGCCTATTCGGAAGGCAATCAGGCACTACTCCTGGTTATTCTTACTCGACGGCTAATAAAAATATGGCGGTGATCTGGGAGGAGTCAACTTTGTATGACTATTTGCTTAATCCCAAGAAGGTATTATTCTTGTAATTGGGTTGTAGTGATTCTACTCTTGGTTTCTATAAATTTTTAGTTTCTGTCGTATGTTTTTAATATCTTTGTTGAAAATTTTTATGATTGTGTTTGTTGAATCAGCAAAAAAGTTCATGGTCGTAAATTTCTATCTGAGTTATTTATTTCCTTTTCTTGATCAGATATTTTCTACTGCTGAAATATTCTAATTACTGGTTTTTCATTGATGATTGAAATACTTGAATCTATCACAATTTTCGTATTTTAAATGTGGCATGTATTAAAATCAATGATTGCCACGTTAATTTATTAGACATTTCAGTCTTTTTGCCTGGTTTTCATTTTGGTGTGCGCATGAAAATTTTGGTTTTCATCACCCCATTGCCTTTGTTAATTTCAAAGATGCTCTTTATTTCCACTTTTTCCGACTTGACTATGACATTCAAATATTCTAACTGCTCGACCACGGGAAATATTTGCATACGGACTACGCACGCAGAGCTGCGTGCGTACTAACCTCTCAATAACCTCTGCTTCGCGGTTATTAGGAGGTTATTGGGAGGTTATTGAGGTATTAATTTCAATAATATATAACCTCAATAACCTTCCAATAACCTTCGCGGGTTCTATTTCGATGTTATTCATAGGTTATTATGGGGTGTTTTTATGAGAGTATTGCGGGGTTAATAGAGTACGCACACAGAGCTGCGTGCGTATTCCGTATGCAAATATTTCTCCTCGACCACAACCTCGTATATTGTTAAACCTTTTCCCGCCCATAATATCTGTGATATTAGTGGTTTATTACCCTCTAGCATAATTATTTCTTCTGAGAATCTTTCAACTCATATTTGGAGAAATTGCGTTTTGAAATTGGAATTTTTAAGCATGTTAAGAGCTTTAGTTTACCATTCACGATACAACAATAATTACTAGTGTAGATTTCAAATACAAGAAGATGAGAAAGCATACGATTTTGATTTGAAATATGTAGGTTAAAAGACCACCAATTAAGAAATTAGTTGTTTTTTTTATATAACTAGTATAGGAGAAATTCAAATGAGACAATAATCTAATGATCATTAAATCAAAGCAACCAGAAATAAACTAACACCTCAAAGCTCATTTCTCAAATGGAATGTCAATCAGAAAGTTTAATATTTATCCGATTTGATTAAAATTAGAAATGCTTAGTAAAGCCACCGATGAATTATGTATAAGAAAATATGACATACACTAAATTCACTAAGAAGAGAAATTCTATGCCCCAATATTGGTACAAGAATATTCACTTCTTTTGGAATTTGATTTTCTCACTTACACTATATTTGAAGGAATCTAACCTCCCACAGGCACAAACAACATTTAAAAGATCATTAAAATTTTATAAAGCCAAAAATTGCTTCAATATGCCTGGGTTACTCTGTTCGTAAGAATCAACAATCTTTTAGTTGGTTTCCTCTTTTTTGATTCAATTTTAAATCCAAATTACATGAGATACAATACATGTTGTAGCATAAGGTTTACAAATAAATTACTCTTAAATAGAAAAAGAATTTGCCAAAGGATAATTATAAAGAATGCGTGCAGAAGAACCACACTATAGTTTTGATAGCAGTACTATAGGAAATGCCTGTAAAAAGCTTAGTAAAACGCCTTATCAAGAACACTTAAAAAAAGCTAGATGAAATTGCTGTGAGGTTCACATATTTGATTCTACAAGAAACAAGGCACTAGTTACGGAACTCAGCAGAAAGAAAAAAAAGAAGAGAAACACTGTTGAAATTGCAGGCAAGTGCAAAATCTCATGTAAGATAGTTCATGTAAGATAGTTCCAAGCATGTAATTCCAAACCTCCTATGGATAATTCCAAATCTTGAATCACGAACTTTAAAATTCTTAAATCTGTATGACTTGTTAAGAGATTAGGTTGTATGCTTAAATTGAATTAGAGGTGAGGTTACCTAGACTATTTGCATCATAATTACAAAGAGAGCATATCCCGAGGATGTCCCAAATTAATTGAAATTAAAAAAGCGACAAAGAAAATTATAAAATAATGAAATTGACTAAACGCTTTGATCAATTGTTTTATTGATGTTTGGATGTGGTCATAATCTTATGGATCTCCATCAAATATGCCCTTCTTTAGGAAAAAAAAAGGTTCCGGATATTTATTAGTTGATATTTGTTAAGCAAATATGGGCTTATTTAGCATCCTTCTTAACTTAGCACTCTATCAACGTCTACAATACATTCATCATTAGAAAACTTAAATACTTCACTAAAATTAGGAAATTTAATTAACTACATTTAGAGTCTCTACATAATCTCAATAAGAGCACATTCGTTTTTTTTTTATTTAAACTTCTCTCATCATAGTGTCTTATCATCACAATCATAAAATCTCAATATTTTTAAGATGCATCAGATGTCATCTCATCTAGTTACAGGTTAGAATGTCGTTAGAAGTAAACAATAATTATTTTTTTAACAATAAATTGTAAGTCATAATTCATTATTTCATTATACTCTAGATATGTTAGTTTATCTCAATGGCATCGTTAGCTACTCATAAAATCCATTTTTTGTTTTGAAAGCATATTTTCATTTCATTCTCTCTTTCTCACTTGATGATAAACACTCAGATTAATCTTAGAAAGGATCACAATATCAATGTACATATATTTAACATACCATCCAATTCAAGTATACAAAATTTATATTTGGCGTTGATTGCATTGGTTGCTCGACTGTCCACGTACATGTGCCAATCAACATTTTTATTAGTTAGATAGTTCATTATCAAAGTAAACAACAACAAAAATTTTGAACTGTAGGTGTTAATATATGATCCATCATCCTTGTATAATTCATTTTTTATTTTGTAGGTAGTCTTTCATTCATCTTCTATCATTCCACTTGATTAGAACTATTTAAATCAAGCTTTGAAAAGATCACTGTATCAATCACCATATATAAAAAAAATTCAAATTAGGTATATGAAATTTTTATTCACTGCTCCACTATCCACCCATATGTCAATTACTATCTTTTTAAGTGTCAGTAAGGCAAGAACACCACATTGACTCATACTTTATCTATTAAGCCTTTTTGCAATTAATCAACCCGGCTTTTATGTTATGCTTAATTGGATTCAATTCATAGCGAGGAAAGTTAGGCAATGATAATTTAAGATTTAGCTGCTACCATGGTTCATGTCCCATGTAGATTGTAATTCATCAAGAACCTAATTAGGACAAGTATTAACATCCTCTGCCAAATTTACAACATTGAGCATTATGTCATTCAACTTAATAGTGACTAAAACAAAAATCAAACTTCCCTTTGCACGCCTATTTGCAAACCACGTTTATGCTTTTATAATTTATTTTCACTTAGGGTTTAGAATTACCTTCCCCCGATTGGTAAAGCTCCCAAAATGAGTTACATCCAAATCATACATTTAAGGTCTACCTCATACAGTTAAGGTATACCTCGAATAAAATGAGAAACATCTATTATAAGCCATTACACTAAATTATATCAGGACAAGTAGCAAGATGAATGCGTTATAAACACATTTTTGGCGTGTGCAAATAGCATGCTTATCCACCTAGGCTACATTATATAGGTATGTATGTGATTCAAGCTTTAAATTTATTCTATCAATAAAAAACATTTGACACAATAGTCATAGAATTTCCATCTTCTGTTATGTGCTTGCAAGGCTTTCACATATTTGAAATACGTAAGAAAAAATGCAGTTCCTTTCTTATCTGACACAATCTTAGGTGAAGTTATAATGCAAAGCAGTAACATTCAAAGGAGCATCAATCAAAATATCTTTAGATTCACTAATCTTCTCATCAAATTCATCAACATAATTATTCTCATTGATTTCAATATCATTTTAATCTATATTTGATATTCAAATTCTTTTTAAAGCTCTATCAATCCAATTATTTTTCTTTTTTCTTACAATGATAAAATGTACTATAACAACAACAACGACGATAACAACAAGCCTTTATTCCACTAAGTGGGGTCGACTACATGAATCCATTTTCTCCATCGAGTCCTATTGAATGTCATATTTTTGTTTAATTCTAATAGATTAAGATAATTTTTTTTAAAATATGACCAAGTCTTTCTAGGTCTACCTCTGCTTGTCTTAACATAAGTTGAATCTATACCATCTACTCTTCTAACCGGATCATCAAATGGTCGGCGTTTAATGTGACCAAACCATCTAAGACGACTCTCTCTAATTTTGTCCACCGCAGGAGCTACACAAACCCTATCACAGATATATTCATTTTGCATTTTGTCTCTAAGTGTAAAGCCACTTATCCACCTAATATCCACGTAAAGCCACTTATCCACCTAAGCATTCTCATCTCAGCAACACTTAACTTAATTTTATGCTTCTCTTTTTAAAGGCCAAAATTTTGCGCCATAGAACATTGCGGGTCTCACCACCATCTTATAAAATTTTTCTTTCAGGTATTTTTCTATCACACAATAGGCCCGAAGCAATCCCCCACTTCAGTCAACCAACTTGAATTCTACTAATAACTTCCCCATCTACTTACATATGATCAGTTTAATAATACTTAACATGTTTTTTCATATTTAGTGTCGTTATTAGTAATGATGTTACTACCCTTAGATGTTGCTGATGCAACAAATTGAATTTAACGGTTTTGATGAAAGATAAATTTTTTTAATATTTGGTAACTCTCTTAAGCACAAAAAATCTTAATATTTTATTAAATTCTAATATGAGTTGAAGAGCTTACTCAAAAGTTGGAATATAATGTGGTGTTATCTCTCTCTTGATACCAAGCCTCAAATCTGGTTTAAAAGTTGGAGTGTGGAATTATGATCCTCATTGATCTCAAAATGCAATGATTGTTCAAATTTGTTAAAGTATTTAGTCTCAGTTTTAGTTCTTTTTTTTTTCAAAGGATTAAACTTACTAAACCCTATATCATGATGAGAAAAAATATAAATTTTTTTAGAAGGTTTCTTTTTTTTTTGGTTTTTTTCAGCCCAAGTTGTAGTAAGTTCTCTTGCTACCCTCACTGTGGCTGATGCGCCTGAGTTCATAATTTTGATTGTATTCACTTCAAGTTCATGACCTAGATTAGTTTCCAAAATTTTAATTTTCTTATTAACTTGATCATTTTCTTCACACTCGTGAGTTTGCTTGTTTAGCAATTCAACCAATTGATTTTTTGAAGTGATCAAAATTTCTTCATTTTGATTAAACATTGAGCCGAACCCTATTTCTGACATATTGACAAAAGTTAATTGTGATACCAATTTGATGCATGTTGTATAAAAAATGATATTAATTTATTAGAATTAAATGAAAATATGACTCTGACACAATGGAGAAAAAGGATTCATCTAGCTGACCACATTTAGTGGGATAAAGGATTGTTCTCGTTGTTGTACCGATTTGATGCAAGATTTAGAGTTTAATTAACTAATACAAGAAGATATGATGCATTAAAAAAAATTTTGATTTGAAATTTGTATTTTAAAATAGCACATGTTGTAACAAGTAAATGCTTTCTTCTAATCTAAATTAAAAACATGAGGAATCCAATCAAAATTTAATTTAATGATTGTTCAAATCATAGGAATTGACAATAAAATGAAACAGTAAAAACCACAAGTTGAATATAATTTACAGCACAATCAGAAAATACTTTTTGTTATGATGTTTGATCTAAATCAGGAATGCTTGCAATACTAATGACAAATTGCCTAGAAGAAAAAAAAAACAACGACAGAATTGACGAAGTAGAGAAAGTTCAGGCATTAAGTTGTTACAAGGAGTTAATTTTCTCCAGAATATTTATTATATTAGTGCTATACCTAAAGGAATCTAATATTCAATAAACATAGACAAATTTGAAAGAAAAGTTGAAATTTTATTAAGCCAAAAATTTCCTTGTATGCCTCAAATTTATCTATTTATAATCTTCTACAATCCTCCCTTAATTGGCTGACTCTCATGAGTAATTCAATTTTAAATCTTAATTACATACGATCCACAGATACATCTTGGCAGTATTAAAATATCTCAAGTAAAATGGCAATCAAGTAGGCAATGGAGCGATCAAAAGATAGCTAAAAAAGTACCTATAGATGCATCATAAACACAAGTAAAAATCTTATAAAAGTTTCACCACGAGACCCGCATAAAATAAGCCTCCCCATGAATCAACTATAAAGTTTGCATTTTAGAAGTTGTATGACTTGAAATTCAAAACAAAAATCCAAAGCCCATTTATCCGTATACGGCTTCTCACCATAGTAAGTAGCAGATTTATGTTGAACCATAATGAGAAGTTAGTAGAATAGAAATCATCTCGCACCTACAGGAATATCATCATATATTATCAATGGCATCATAACTATAAAGAACAAGTTCGGTAGTCATGGGCACATCATCATAGACAAGTTGAGCCGAGTTTGAGCTTGATTAATCATATGAGTTTGAGTTTGATGTTAAGGTTAATTCTTAGTTTGAGTTGGCACACAATCTGGCTCATTTATTATGAAAGAAAAAAAAAATGATTTTAATTCCAGCAACAATTGGTCTAATAAAATGATAAAGAAGGGCAATTGTGTCCGGAAGAAAAAGAAATTATCTGATATAAAAGATAAAATATAATTTCAAAACTTTTTAATTGCTGTACTTAAATTCTTGTTTTATAATATAATTTAATTATATTTTGTATCAATATATATTAAATGAGCTGGCTAACGAGATAACGAGTCAAGTTGAGGCTGACTCATGAAATTGACTAAAATCATCTATTTGCTCACTGTTATCGGTAGCATAAACAAGTAGATTTCCATCACCTATCTTATGCGTTCCAAAGGTTTGCATCAACTGCTGTCGGTCAACATGCTATCGTATTTCTCTTAATTATTTATTATATTTCAGCAGTATTCTTATTAGCCTGTTGCTTTATCTAGGAGCACTTGCTAGAATGCTGTCTTTTTCTCCATTACTGAACAATGTCTCTTTTTTCCATATTTTATTTGATGAGTTGTGGATTTCAGCTATATCTCTGTGACAATTTGCTTGAACTTCCATCAAAGTCGTTTTGTACATGTTTTCCTTGCCAAATCTACTGAAAATTTCCTCATTTCGCTGGCTTTGTTTATTGGGAGAGGCTGAGGGTTGTTTTATAACTTGCAGTACATACCCGGCACAAAGATGGTGTTTCCGGGCCTCAAGAAGCCACAGGAGCGTGCAGATCTTATTGCTTTTCTCAAAGAGTCTACCTCATCCTGAACTCCTGAAAGAAGCCACAGTGATTTTTACAAGACCATTAAAGATATGAGAAGTGGAGCTAAGCTCGCATTTCAGTTTCGTTTTGTTTTGCCATTATGGTAACTAGAATGGCTTATTTTGAACTTTTTTTTTGTCGGTTCTTACATTGTTTGGCACATCTTTCGAGTCCAAAATAACTTATAATATTGTAACAATTGCTTTTGCATTGTCTGTGCGCGGATTAAATGCACGGTTTATTAATGTCATTGTTTTGAAGTGGGGACCAACAAGGATCATGGCTCCGATATTAAGAGGATTTTTGGGTCATTTGACCGAATATAAATATTTCAATGGCAGTGCATTAAATGTAATTTTGGCTTGAATCTTTTGAATTTCAAAAGATAATGGGGAAATTTTTAAGGGTATTTAAATGCGAAAAATTATTCTATACGGACACCGCATGCATGCATGCTGAGATCCATGCGGTGTCCGATCCTGACCGTAGATCACAGTGATCTATTCATGATGTATTTTAATGGGCCTCATTTAAAATTTAAAAAACAAAATCGAAATACATTCTGATCGTAAATCATCGTGATCTACAGTCAGGATCGGACACCGCATGCATCTCTGCATGCGCTGTCCGTATGCAATAATTTCTCATTTAAATGCATGTCATGATGCCACCCATTTTCTGTATATCAACATGTTTGACATCTAAATTTTATCTTTTGCATTCATATCATCTAAATTTTTTCATGGCAAAAAATCCATTATTTTAACTTCTAAAAATGACACCTTTTCAATGACATGTATGTAAAATTTTAAGTATAGGTGTTAGATATGTAAATCCATAAGATTTTAAGTGTAATTGATGTGGATCTTCTATTTTTAAAAGGAAGATTTATATTGATACAACTTGATTCCTATATATTTATGTATCTAGTATCTAAACTTCAATTTTACATTTATAGTTATATGTAGTTCATTTTTAATAAATGTGAAAAGTAAAATTTAGGTGGTAGGCATGTAAATGCTTAGGCAGAAGATGGTATGTATGTAAATGCCCCCTTTTTAAAATTATTTGAAAAATTAGAATATCTTGGATCATCTGGGATTAGAACGGTCAAAAGTCCTGTAGGGCTTTTCTTTTAGACAGATTTTCTGCGAAGCAGTTTCAAAATTTGTATAAACTAATGATCAAACAGTACTGAAACGAACTTAGTTAAAAACTTAGGAAGATTTTGTTGTTGGAATGCAATCCATGGTGACATAGGTGTTAGATTAAACATTATTTAGTTATATCTAGGGCTGTCAAAAAAGCTCGTTGTTCGCGAACAATTCTTGTTCGATTCGTCAATGAGTTCGTGTTCGATTTGTTCGATAAGTAAACGAGGAAGTAAACGAGACGAACGTGAACAAATTTTTTTCGTTCGGTTAGTTAAATGAATTAAACACGAACAGTGATGCGTTAGTTCGTGTTCAAATCGTTATTGTTCGAAATATAAAAAAAAATGAAATAATTATATATAAAAAATTTATGATAGTTTATTATAGTAGTTAGTTGTGTTGAACTTAATTCTGGATCTTAGGAAGGTTTAAAATATAGCTAACTTTTCACTTAAAAGCTGCATGTTTAAAATTTTCAATTCACTACCAAATATTTTTCTTTTTGTTGCAGTCATGTATATTTGTTAGTGTGTTTGTTTGCTTTTATATAATACTCACTCCACTGCATAAAAGTCCAATGAATCTCAACATGTTAAGTAGATTAAAATTTAATCAATTTAATGTTTACTTCTGTTATTAATTTTTGTACTTACATATTTAGGATATGAAAATTCCTGCAAACGTGTTATTTCTAGTTTTCATTTATGCTAATATTTATATATGATGCTAAAATATTTTATTTTATTAAAAATTCAAGTTTGGGGGTGGGGGAATGAAAAATTTTCTAAAGCCTTAAAAATTTATTTGTTCTCAAATGTATTTCAATTAAATTCGATTTTGATTTGAAGAAAAATGACCATGTATATGAAATTATATTAGGGAGGTAAAATTTTAAATATAGAAATGAGTAAGAGAATTTAGTTAAAATTTATAGTAATGAAGAAAAACTTAAAGTTCAAAACTTTTTAGTGTGAAAAATGCTAAGTATAGTGTAATTATCTTTAGTAGGATAAATTGTATTTTTGAAAAATTTAGATAATTTAGTTTTGATTTTCAAAACTTAAATTTCTTTTATTGAGAGTAATTTCAAAAACTATTATTATGTTTTTATGTGAAAGAAAAATATCATCTTTTTGCTTTAGGAAAGGAAGAGTGAGATTCAAAATCATTAAAGGTCTATCCAGATATAGTAATCATTGCCTGAGAAAAAGAAAAAGAAAAAAAAAGAAAAGTTGATAATGGGAGGAGAAGCTTGAGGATTAGTGTCTAATCAAAAATTGGTTCCACATCTGATCTTCTTAAAGTATAAGACTTGAGAAACTCTTAAGCTTAAGGATATAATATAGTAAGTAAAATTATGCTTAATAAAAATTTTTAAGTGGAGAAGATAAAATGTCTAAACTCTATATTTGGAGAATCTACAATATTTCTGAATTAGATGGAACTCATATTTTTATATTTCTTAACATTAAAAATTTCTAAACTCTAAGTTTGTCTTATTTACTAATATTTTTTCTAAATTGGACTAATATATTTCTACATCAAAATTTTAGTAACTCATCAAGAAACTCATATACATCATCTACTCATTTAGTTTTTAAATATTGAAAGGTCACTTGAGGACAAGTAATATTTTAAGTTTGGGGGATTTTGATACACCTAAAATATATAGTGGTTTTATACATATTTTTATGCCTATTTTTTGAGATATTGCGCTTTAATGAAATATATTTGTGTGTTTTTCTTTCAGGTACAGTCAAATGAATGAAAAATACTAAAAGGAGTAAAAAAAGGGTCAAATCTAGAGTAAAAATGAAGAAGGTGCAAAATTGAACTGTGGCACCTGATACACCTAAAATATATAGTGTTTTTAGACACATTTTTATACCTATTTTTGAGATGTTGTACTTTAATGAAAGGTGTTTTTGTATTTTTCTTGCAGATATAAGTAAAAATGGAAATAAATGCTTAAAGGAGTGAAAAATGATCAAATTTGGAGCAAAAAGGTGAAAAATTGTGCAAAAGAGATTTGACACCTAAGCGTCAGATCCGGCGCTTAAGTGCCGGTTAAACAGAGAAGGCCGCGCCTAAGCGCCTAGAAGCTTAAGTGCCGGTTAAACAGAGAAGGCCGCGCCTAAGCGCCTAGACCCCGCGCTTATGTGCTATTGGCAGTTACTAGACGAGTAAAATTGATTTTCACAAATTTTGAAGAGGTTTTTTAGGCACCCATTGGCTTAATATTTGGTTGTAACCATGATGGATGAAAATTATCATGAAAGGTGCATCTCTTGGGCAAATATATCGAATCAAGACACATTTTGAAGAGATCCCAAGGCACCTCTTGGAAAACTATAAAAGAAAGAAGAGAAGACTTAGAAAAGAGTCCTGAAGAGGTCTGAAAAAGTGTGAGTGCTGAAAATATTGGCAAGTTTTGAAAGTTCTTTTATGGGGAGTTAGTTCGAAGAGATTTTCAGGAACAACAAGAGATTTTCAGGAACAACTTTGTTATTTTGTTTTGAGTGATTGTAAAAAAGAAGAGATTCAAAGGAACTTCAAGAGTTTGGTGGAGGACTTGAGATAAGTTCTTATCTTTTTATTTTTGACTACTTTTGGTCTTAATTAAGACTTGTTGTTGGTTTGACAATGAT